GGACGGTTTAGACTATAGTGACGCCCGGCACCAAGGAAACGAAAAGTACAGGTACTTTCTGACGCTATGAATTGATTGCAAATCTGTCTCAGACTCTTTTCTATGATAGAGATGGATTCGTTGTCTCATATTAAGAAAAAAAAAAAAAAAAGCCCCCGCACCAAGTTACCAGGTTGTTGTTCTTGGTTGGTTTGTCTCTCTGTTCCAGGGTATCCAGACTTACTGGTTGTCAGTGGGCTCATTTCTACCTGTCATACACAGGCATGAGCGGCAAGAAACAAGTTGTACATATATATATCCGTGGCGTACCACCTACATACCCTCAGAGACGCATACAAGACAGAAGTGCTTGCTTTAAAGTAGAACACAGCAGCAGCAGCAGCAGCCGTTGGAACAGAGAGGCCCAGAGAGAAGAAAATTGTACGAGGCGCCTAAATAGAAGATGGGCGGGAAGCCAGCCCCAACAGATGCGGCTTGAAGTTGAGGGCTGACTGACTCAGAAGCCCGCCGGGAAAAAAAACGGACAGCCGGTCACCAGAATACTTTCCCCTTGCTCGAGAGAATAATCCCGGGGTCGAACGGAGGGATTGTTTCAAGGTCGTGAGTCTCTCGCAGATGAGTGTTCATACATATGCATACCATGCATGCATTTATTTGGGTATCAAAATACCCTCTCCTGTAAACTTGCCACGGAAGGCAACGACAGGTGGACCCACGGGGAGGAAGGTCGGACGGTACTAATTATCGGTTCTCTGGCATGCGCATGATATTTTCAACACCCTGCGCATGATAGTTTCGGGCGTGTTATTTGTTGCACACCCCTTGTTGAGAACATCACGGAACATGCGCATGTTGTGTGCAGTTTGTACAGATGCACAGGGTGGCCACCAAACTGCCTTTGTAGAGCCTGTTACCCACCGCAGGAAAGATATCGCTGTAATGCTGATCGAGAACCGTAGACGACGCAGCAGTTGGTGTCCCCGCTAACGCTGCTATGGATTATTTGCTGGTTTATCTTGCCGACTGACCCTAGTGGATAGAGATGACTTTCGTTGTGTAAAGGAGAAAGTAACTCATATGTATGCATACGCGCGCATTGCGCCTGTGTGACACTGCAATGGCAACTTATCTACCACGCGTGCTTCGTTTTCTGACACTTTTTTTGTTACGTTTATCGATCATACTACTTGTGAACCCCTCATCTTGTTCCTGATATCCACCCGCGGCTCATTAGTATAGCGGCGTCGTCTCGAAAGGGACGCGTGGTCAATGGTCAAATGACTACGGCAAGCAACAAATGAGTACGCCCCCCCCCCCGCGTACACTCTTCAAGCGGGCCAATGTGCAACCGTAGAGCTCCCATCATGGCGGCGGGCGCCATTACCCCGCTACATACCGTACGAGACGGAGAGATGGCACCCCCCCCCCCCCCCCCCCAAAACGAATTTTATAAAATGATTGGTCCCCCCCCCAAAAAGTGGCAAAAAATAAATTGGGGGGGGTTTGAAAAAATTTCGTCCAAGGGTTTTCCTCCAAGTATTGGGGTCTTTTCCCACCCCCCGCTTGGGTGTAAAGGTATTGGGGTTTTAAAAAACGGGCTAGGGGGAGTGGCATTTTTGGGCCTCTTGGGGGACCCTCCTCGCCGTCAGCTTATTAACCCCTCCCTCTTAACTCTAGCTCGTTGTCCGAAAGGGGTTGGCTCTACCTAATAAGCAATGGAAGTGGGAAAAGTCTTGATGAACGAATCGTTTTCCTTTTCTAATGGAAAATTTAACGCCCGGGAACGCGCCCTGGTTTTTTTTTGAAAAAGGGACCCATGGGTTTAACCCCGGAAAAAAGTTGTAACGGTTCCAAATATATAAACACCTGGGAAAAGGAATGAAGTTGTTTTTTGCGTGAGTGGGAAAAAAACCCGGCTGGATACTGCTGCTGTGCTTATAATTTGATAGTTTGAGCCTCTACTTATCGGTCTCTGCTCTGAATCTATACCTACTCCACGATGCCAGCTGGTCATGATCACAAAAAGCCATCAGCTTGTTCCGGATGGAACGGAGGAAGAGAAGGAGATAATCGTCACCATTGGCCTCTTGCTTTGCATCGAAATTCCACCCCCTCCTCTTGCTCCCTCATTTCTGCGTAGCTTCGCACACAATTGAGCCGCCGCTGCGACTTCCCGCAGGGGGGGGGGGGCATGGCTACCCCGGGGGGATGCCAATGCACGCGTCCAAGCATACACACACGCGCGCTCGTGCGTCGATGTGTATGTCCACCCGACCATGATGTCCGGGACAATCTCCGCCCTTCGCTTCTGCCTTGTGCCTGTTTCGCGATTAGCCATGGATGATGAGTGCTCATCACGTGATCGTCGTCTTGGGGCTATCTCCATTTTTTATTTTTTTTGCCACGTTGGAAGTGATAGCCCCCCGCTTCCTCTCGATGGTGACACACTTTACCCATGCCAGTGTGGAAGTGATATACCCCCCCCCCCGCCTCCAACAATGCGCCGCCTCCCGTCGGCGTTGTCTTGGTTGTCTCCATTTTTTATTGCCACTTTGGAAGTAGTATCCCCCCGCTTTGGAAGTGATAACCCCCCGCCTCCAACAATGCGCCGCTTCCCGTCGGCGTCGTCTTGGTTATCTCCATTTTTTATTGCAACGTTGGAAGCGACAACCCCCCGCCCTGGAAGTGATAACCCCCCGTCTCCAACAATTCGCCGTTTTCCCGTCGGCGGTTTCTTAACGGCAGGGCAAGAGCGGAAGGGAAGAGCATGGGCAAGAGAAGCCGCAGCAGCAGCGGCAGCAGCAGCAACCCGGTCTCCGCAAGAGTTGCGACTACTGCGCAAGGATGAAGAGGGCCTGCGGTAAGCTGGGACATCGCGCAAAGCCTACCTCTCATGGCCGGCCGCTCGATATCGAAGAGCATGGGCACGAGAAGCCGCAGCGGCGGCAGCAGTAGCAGCAGCAGCAGCAGCAGCAGCAGCAGCTCTACCTCAACATGTACCGCTGAAGCTCCCAAGGCCTCCTGCCCAATAACCAAAAGAATTCGCTGCGTTGTTGTACAGAGAACCCTGGCGTCCCACCATCCTGAAGTTGGCGATCCCACATAATGCACACGTCCTCTCGCGACCGAGGCTGGCGCTTTGTTCGAACTGTTCTTGCTTGCTTGCTCCTCCGCCGTGCACTTTTTTTGAAAACGCACTACAAACACAGGGAGACTACGCGTTTGAGAAACAGCCATAGCAGTCTTCGAACACCAGAAGCATGGATAACAAAAGGTGGCGGCGGTGCCCCCCCCCCCCCCCTTTTTTTTCCCCGGACACGCTATACTAAACCAAGTACACTTTTTGTTTTGTTTTGTCGTTCCGCTTGTTTTTATGCCGACCAATCACGGGGCGGGGACCGCTTCCCCGGTGACAACAGACGGGGGCTCCCCCTGCGCCCTGTGCAGCAGGAGGGGTAAGGTCTGCGAGAGGCGGCTGCGGCGCAAGAGCGGGCCGGCCAAGGGCGCCAAGTACGCGCCCCGCAGGAGGAAGTTCGATAGCGAGGCCGCCGCCCTAGCGGAGGAGGAAGCCGCGGCGGCGGCGGAGGCGGCGGCAACCGTTGCCTCCTTGAAGGACAAGGAGAGAAACAGGGGCGGGTTCAATAAGTGCGGCGGCGGCGGCGGCGGGTACGGTGATGCTCTCGACAGCAGCGGGGTTAGCAGGAGTAGCGGCGGCGACGGCGGCGGGCGGGGGGGCGCTGCTGCTGTGGCGGTGGCGATGAAACCTGTTCGGCGAATCCAAGGAAGGAAGACGCGCGAAGAGAACGACCGACCGCCTTCGGGCGGCGGAGGCAGTCCCCCGGCTACGTTCACGTCGCCGGCAACGGCGACGGCGACACCGCCGCCCGCGGGGAGGCCGCCCGTGCTCAAGACGGAAGAAGCGCGGTCCACGTCGCCGCAGCCGCAGCCGCAGCCGCAGCCGCAGCCGCGGAACCAAGAGCTTTGGAGGAAGCGGGGGAGGGGTGAAAAACGGGGGTCCAGTTGCTCGGACGACAGCAGCAGCACCAGCACCAGCAGCGGGGGCTCCGCAGAATCTCCGTCGTGGTCCCGAGGGGTTCCGCGGAAGCGGCGCTTCCCTTCGAAGGGGTGGACCCGGGCGGCGGGTAGGGGGGGGGATGAGCGGGCCCTCGCGTCGCCCTCTGGCGACAGCTGCGGTCGAACCTGGCAGGCCAGTGATGGGGACGAGCGGGCGTCCGGTGGTGTGGGCGTCGACGCCTGCGGCGGCGGCGGTGGCGGGGAAATCGGTCGAGAAAGCTCGAGGAGGAACGAAAACAGCAGCAGCAGCGGCAGCAGCAGCGGCAGCAGCGAAGCTCCGTGTTACTCTTCTTCTTCTTCTGCCGCCGCCGCCGCCCCTGTCTCCTGCTACAACAACGGTCCAGCGGAGGATCTCCGTCCGACTAACGGTGGTAGTCGCCCCTACAGCCCGAAGGTCGTCGCCCGTGTCCCCCGCAGAGACGAGGGAGCAGAAGAAGAGGAGGAAGAGGAAGAGGGGGGGGGGGTGTCGCAGCGAAACCGCTATGTTGATCGTCACCATCCCCCGGAGCGGCAGGCGAGCACGGGCGGCGACGTCGAGACCACGACGAGATCAACGTCATCGGGTACGGGATGGACAGCAGCAGCAGCAGCAGCAGCAGCAGCAGCAGCGACACGAGCAACATCGCAGTCACCAGCGGCGGTGGCGGGGGAGGCCGTAGAGCAGGGCGGCCGCCGCTGCCGGCCCTTGTACCCCAAGCAGGAGGTGCGCGACGACGTGGACTACACGGCCGGCCGAGTGGTATCGGTCTCCCCCTTGAAGAAGACGGTGACTGGGGAGGGCGGTGACGAGGAGGGACCTGACACCCAAGGGGGGGGGGGGGGGCGCGGACGGGAGAAAGATAGGGGGAGGGATTCTTCGCCGCCCAGGGTGCAAGCGTGGGAGCCAACCGTGGAGGCGGCCGGGATAGGCTTGGACGTGGGGTCGTATGCGGGGCGGGCGGCGGGTCTCAGGAACCTATGGGCTGGAAGCCTGGTGCGTGTACCGTGTCTTCTTGGATGTTACATTTTTTTACTGTAGAAAGTCTTGTTGGCGCGGCTAGCAGGTGTAGGTGGGGTCATCGATTGGCGCATGTATTGTAAGACTGCTGTATTTTTTGGAGAGCGGGGCGACACTGGTCTGGCCAGCAAGCAGTACACGGGGGCGTGGATGTTCGCGGTAATGTTGTTGGCGACGTTTTGAAAATCTTGCTGGCTAGAGGAGGTGAGACACGCGCCTTTCTGCCAAAACCGCAAGGACTGGACATGCGTCGGTGGAAGTCGCCACTGCTGTACTCTCCGAGTTAACATGGCGTGCTTGACCCAAAACGGTCGTTTGCATCATGCGCGAGAATTACAGCCGGCACGACCTCCATACATGTTATGCTGCGCCCGACCGAAGGGACAGCAACCGCTCGACCCCCCCCCTCTCGTTTGCTCATACCCCACCCCCCGCCCCGCTCTGCGTGACCCCCATACATGTTCTGCAGCGCCCGAAGGAACAGCAACCGCTGGCCCCCAAAGACCTGCTGCTCATGCTTCGCCCCAACAGCGAAGGCTTCTTCGACTGCGGCGGCGCCGAGAAGAAAGGCGGCACTCAAGCGACGCACATAAAAGGCGGCGGCGGCGGGTGGGGAGGCGGGGGTGCGGCGGCGGCGGCGACAAAGATGGCCGTTAGCGTGGTCGGGGGCGGTGGCGGCGGCGACGAGGGCGACCGCCGGAGCTCGTGGAGCGACTCGCGGGAGGCGTGTCGGGAGGCCGGGGAACTGCTCCGCGCAATCCGCCGCGATTCAGCTCCTGCCGCCACCGCCGCTGATACCGCCGCCGCTACCACCGCCGCCGTTGCCCCATCATCATCACCGAAGCATGCCGGCGGCGGTGGCGACAGGGGCGAAAGAAACAACGTACCGGGCGATCTTGAGCAGGGCCGCCGGTGGCGCGAGGCGGAGCGCCGGCTCCCGGAGGAAGGACATGGCGGGAGCGGCGGCGGCGGAGACACCGACTACGGCTACGTCGAGAGTTTCACGAGCAACCGGGGGCGTTTCGATCACGTCGGCCAGGACGGCCGCCTCCCCTCTATACTGCCTTTCCCGGGGCTGGCGCTGAGGGAGTGCCACCGCGAATACTTCCACCGCGCACACACCACCGCCACCGCCGCCGCCGCCGGCCCCGTCCTCCAGCCCAGCCACCGCATCCCTCCCGGCGGCTATCCCTACAACCGCAGCCAAGACCACCACTGCCAAGCCCGCTCTCTCCCCCACCCTTACCGCAACCACGCGTCGACGACGACGACGAGGCCTCTGCACGAGGACTGGAACGACGCGGGACGGAGGAGCCCAGCCGTCGCCGCCCCGCCTTCTTTCGCGCAGGTTGTCCTTGCGACGCACCCCCCGTTTCCCGGGGGCGGCGGAACCGGCGACCAGCGCGACAGCAGCGGCGGGAGGACCGGGACCGTTTCGTCCGAGAGGTGCTGGAAGGGGGGCCGCTGGTCCGTACCGGCGGCGCTGTCGGGGAGGGGGCACCACGGTGGCCCCTCGCCGATCTCGATCCCCGTGCCTGTGCCTGACCACCACACCCCTCCGCCGGCGTTCGGGCGTGTCGGCGGCCCCTTCCGTGAGGGGAACAGAGGTGCTCGTTCGTAGCAATAGGCGGCGGCTGCGGCGACGTCGATGATGAATGTGGGGGATGTGGGTGGGCCTAGGGATTGTTGGATCTTGTGGGTGTAGAGTGGTGTGTGTGGGGTGATCGATGTTCAAAGTCCCCCCCCCCCTTGGTTTTGTTATGTTGCGGATGTTTGGGGAAAGAAAAGAACGTTTGTTTGTCTGTCCTCTGCTGTAGAGCATATGGTGTCCCATGCTCCTCCGTGCTATCTGCTCTGCGTCTTTGAAGCTCGGTCGTTTTCGTTTGGTCTGGGTGACACTGCTGATGGCGTTCCGCAGGTGGGGCCAGCAGCCGCCTCTTGGAGGTAACTTGCAGGTAGCGGGTGTTGGGTGTCCACAGAGGGAAGAAGCCCATACCCAGGGCTCGATCGACCGCAACAACAGGCAATTCGCGTACCAGTTGTAGTTGTGACGCCGTCTGCTCGTGGCTGTAGCACCGGCCTTCGACGAAAACATGGGGGCAAAATCTGTGCGGGGCGAGTTTCTGGCGGTAGTAATTTACCCCGAGAGAACGGTGGTTCGTTTCGTTTTGTTCACTCAAAGTGGGGGGGGGGGCACCCCGTCCCGCGGCCGGACCAATTCGCCGCGGATGCGGAGAAAATTGTTCTTCGCGCCCGCTTGACTGCTATTGTTTCTGTCCACCCTCGGTGCCGGAGCTAAGCACCAAGCGCAAAATTCGTTGTAAAGATTGTTTTTACGGAATAGTCTGACGTGTGGGTGTTGGCGTTTTTATCCAGTGTTCTTCTCTCCCCCTCCGCGTCTAGATCTCCGTGTGTGCCCAGAGCGCGATTGTGGTGTGATGGTGACGAAAGGGCGACCAAGAGTAAGAAAGGAGTTGGGCCGGAGAGCTCGCGGGATGTGTGCGACCCGACACGGGCAGCATAGAGATTTTATGAGTATATATTTGTTGCAAATGCTGTGCAATAGCAGTAGCAGCGGCAGCCGCGGCGGCGGCGGCAGCGGCGGCGGCGGCGGCGGCGGCGGCGGCGGCGGCGGCGGCGGCGGCAGCGGCGGCGGCGGCGGCGGCGGCAGCGGCGGCGGCGGCGGCGCGCGAGATTGTCCAGACAGAACGGGCGGCTTGTTTGCGAATCGAGATGGGGATGGTTGCTCGCTGGCTCGTTCCAGCGCGTGTGTTTGGCCGCCGTTGATTCTGTTGTATGGGTTTGCCAATGGGCTCTGCCTACAAGAAAACCGGCAGCACAACCTGTCCCCGCTCTGTTATGGGGCAGGCCGTGTGAATGACGAGCATGCGTGCGTATCAACCTTGCCCGCGCGGCGAAGCATTAAAGAGGCCGCGCCACCATATGGAGGCAGCCCTTTTTTACGTTCTGGCCTCGCGATGTCGTTGGTTGCTGATACGGGTTGTTTGTTGTTTCTGCTGCTGTGTTGTTGTTGCTGTTGTTGTTGTCGTTGTTGTGGTCTTCTGTGTTTTCATGTTGTTCGTCCTTGTGCGGTTGCCCAGGTGTTGTCGTCATGGTGTGGGCGGGATATGGGAGAAGCCTTTTTTTAGAAAATACTGTTGTTGTTGTTGTTGTTGTTGTCTTCACATTAAAAGCCGCTCCGATCTCTCTCTACCCAGTACCTTCATATGTCCGTACTGATCCAACACTTGACGCGGTCGATTCCCGTGGTCACAGGCTAACTTACACTAAAAAGTGTGGACCCTTGCTACTGTTTCATCTCTCAGCCTCGCCTTGTTTGGACCTGTGTGTGTGTTTTTTTTTTGTTAGTGTCCCAAACCCCGTGCTTCGGCAAAGAATCAATCGCACAGATTCGGCGGGCTTGGCGTTATTTTTTTTCAAGCTTCGTAGATAAGCATTTATTGCGTGTTGTTTGAATGGGTGCATTGAAGCATTTCGCCCAGTTGCTTGCCAGATAACGGTACCAAGCAGGATGATGAAGATAAAAAGGGGGGGAATTCTTGCATGGGCGTGTCTTGATTTTTTTATCGTTGATTTTTTCTGTTACTGCCTTTGCCAGCGTCGTTCTGTTGGAGATGTTATTCACGTTGTACGTGTCGCCACCCACCCCAAGCTGTAGGTGGAGATGCGTACGCTTGGGTGAGTGGGGGTGGGGGGGTGGGGAGGGGGCAGAGTCTTCACAGTAGTCGGTTACTGTGTTATCTCCGACTTGTAAAAGTTATCGGGCCATCACTACGAGTCAATTCCACCCTTTCTTTCGTGTGCTTACATCTCGCTTCAAAATGTGCTGTCTTGCATAACGCGACACGTTTTAGGGCGCAAGTGGTGGGAACACAGAGCACATAACACACGTTGTTGATGTGGTCGGGTTGGTTGACACCGGTGGGGACACCGGAGGGGTGCCATGGAAGCTTCTCCTCCGCGCGAGGCCGTCGAGACCGCGGATGCGAGAGCGTCGGGCGATGCCGCTGGCTGCCGACGCCACAGCTGCTGTACTCATTCACGTGCGTGCTTTTTTCTCTCTCCGGCCCTTTTGTTCTTGGGAGTGTGTGCTCGCTCTTTGCGCCTCGCCCTCTGTCGTTATTCGTGTTCCTATTGCTGCTGCTCGCGCGTGGCAATAAAAAATCACGCGCGAACAACAACGACCAGCAATTTTTCTTGTCAAACAAAAGAGAGGGGAGGAGGGCACGACGCTCCCCGGGCAAGCGACAGAAATACCTTCAAGTTCACGGCACGTCCACCTGCTTCCGGTCAAGAGGGCCCTCCAAACACCACGGTGCGACTCCGACTCGGGCTGAATCGCACCCAACCTGCACACCCGCTCTCTTCTTCTTCATCTACTTCTTGGCACATCTTTTAGATGGCTCTAAATTTTCTGTTACAACTATTCCTCGTGAAGAAAGAAGAGTATGCACGCATCCTGGAATCTCTAGCTCACCCAACCACTCACGCGCCTCCAGGCACAGACGAACGCACACCTGCTACACGTATACATGCGGCAGGCACTCACCTTTTCGGTCTCGCTATAGCGATGCAGCTTATATTCCTCCTGACCCAAATTCAACGTCTGGCGATTGATGTGGGTGTTTTGATGAGGCGCGTGCTCGGTGGCTGGAGCTAAAAAAAAAAAACATGGCGCGCAGACATTGGCCGGCATGTTCGAAAAGGGGACATGACGTATCATCCCCCCCCCCATATTTCGGCGTGTCATACACACCAAGCGTGTATACCTCTTGCATGTATGTTATCTATCTGGTACAGCAAGGGTGTGTGTGTGCTACTTGTTCGCCGCAGGGAGTGAGAATCCATTGTGTTAGGCGTTGCGTGC